CTCGAACTCGCACGATCCTCCTGCCTCAGCCTCCCGAGTACTGGGATTACAGGCGTGCGCCACCACGCCCGGCTCCTCTTCATCATATTTTAAAAGTGTGTATACTAATCTCCTACCTCAGCCTGCCAAGTGCTGAGATTACAGGTGTGCACCAGAGCGCCTGGCTTAGGGCCTTTCTTCCTTCCTTCTTTAGGGCCTTTCTTTCTTCCTTCTTTAGGGCCTTTCTTTCTTCCTTAGTGAACAGTAGGTGAAAGCTTGTGGCAACCCAAACAAAACAACAAAAACACTGAAGTACTTCAGGCATTTTATATTTGCGTTCTTGACTTTGAGTATATTGATGAGTGGAGTGTTTTCATTATATTAGCAGTAATAGGAAAGTGCTTCTTTCAGTGAAAGTGGGAATTTGTGGCAAAGAGGGAAATGCTCGAAATTCTAAATGTAGAGATTTAGTTTTTTAAATTTTTTTTTAATGTTTAAAAAGTAAGGATAATCCTGGCTACATACTTGGAAGACCAGGGTAGGAGGATCACAAGTTTGAGGTCAGCCTGGGTAATTTATTGAGACCCTGTCTCAAAAATTTAAAAACTGGAGATGTACCTCAGTGGAAGAATCTCTTGAGTTGAGTCCCCAGTACTGAAAAACAAACAAAACTGTAAGGCAAACTGACTATCTGCTGGGAATGACAGTCTTGTTTATCTGGCGTGCCTGAGGAAGTGGAGATTGCTTATGGAGCTCAGGTGGAGACCTGTTGTCTCCGGGATAAAGCAGGAGCCCATTGTAGAGGTGCATGCCCAGCCTACAATCCTAGTACTCTGGGAGATTGAGGAAAGAGGTCCCTAAGTTCCAGTCCAGCCTGGGCAATTTAGTGAGTCCTGGTCTCCAAATAAAAAGGGCTGGGGATATATGTAGCTCAGTGTAGAGACCCTAAGTTCAACCCCCTGTGCTGCTAAGTAAGTAAATGAATAAATACCTAACAGATTATTGGGAACTCTTAAACCAGGTCAGGGAGTACTACAGTATGCAGACTGGTTTGGGGTTTTACAAATGTGTGGTTTTACCATAGGTCCCTCTAAAGACAGAGGATAGCCAATTCTGTTAGTCGTTGCTTGGGGTTGCACTAGAGTGGTCTGAATATTTCTCAGTGTAACTTGCACTTTATTCTCAGGTTTAGTTTTAAGGATTTGGTTTTCCAACTCATTTCTTTACTAGTTTTTCTAGTGCCTCTCCTTTATTTTTTTTTTAGCTTTTTGAGACAGAGGCTTGCTGTGTAGTCCAGGTTGATTTTGAATTTATTATGTAGTCCAGGCTCAAACTTGTGGCAATCCTCCTGCCTCGCCTCCCAAGTGCTGGGATTATAGGTGTGTATCACCGCACCTGGCTGCAGGCCTTTTTTTTTTGAGTCAGGGTGTATGTGCAGGCTGGCCTTGGACTCACTACGATCCTCTTGCCTCAGCCTCTTGAATGCTGGAATTATAGGCGTGCACCACCACACCTGGTGTAGGGCCTTTCTTTAGGCCAGTGGCATATATTCGTGAGTCAGCTGCAATAAATGCCTTAAGTTTCTTCCTTAGTGAACAGTAGGCGAAAGCTTGTGACAACCCAAACAGAACAACAACAGAAACACTGAAGTACTTCAGGCATTTTATTTTTGTGCTGTTGACTTTGAGTATGTTGATGAGTGAAACTATTTGATTGGGGCTGGGATTTAGCTCAGCGGCACAGCGCTTGCCTGGCAAGTACGAGGTCCTGAGTTTGATTCCCGGTACCAGGAAAAAAAAAAAAAAACCAAAAAAAAAGAAACTATTTGATTACTCAACAAAATACAGAATTTTGTTGTAGTTTAACCAAAATGAATAACTGTCAGGATTAACATTTCAGTTATATAGAGTGAATATTCACTTAATTGTTCAATTCTGACTTCTAAAGTGCTTTCTTTCAGGGCTGGGGATTTACTTTAGAGACACAGCTCCTGCCTGGCAAGTGCAAGGTCGTGAGTTCAATTCCTGATACCAAAAGAAAAACAAAAACAAACAAAGTGCTTTCTTTAGTTGTTAAAACACTTGTTCACTTACTTGAAAATTTCTAGGGAAATAACTCACAAAGAATATTTGTTAGGTATCACAAAATATGTAAGTGTGCTCTCAGGTGGCATTAGTTTTTGTGTAATGTGTTTGCTAGAAAGCTTGACCGTGTTTGCCCTTGCTAGTAGTGCCTACTTTCTGGCTTTTGCTATGTATAGTATATTCTCAGCAAGGAAGGAAGTTGCTTGTAGCCAGATACTTTATCAACCGTGATTCACTGCTTGCCTTTAGAACAGCTTACATTTAGAGACAAAAGGCAGAGCAGGTAGAGATTAAAAGATTAGGAAACTCTAGATATTTGCTAATTTTTAAAGTTGAACTGAAGGATAGGAAATGATACTTTAAGAATATTGAAGCCAGTATGATACTTACCTGTAGTCTCTTCCTTGGGAGGTTAAAGTGGGAGAATCATTTGAACCTGGGAGTTCAAGACCAGCCTGGGTAACATAACAAGACTCAGTCTCAGAAAAAGAAAAACCATTTCAGCCAGGCAGGTAGTCAGTACCTATAAATCACAGTGACTTGGAAGGCTGAGACAGGAGGATGCAACATAGCAAGACCCCATTTTAAAAAAAAGCACAGCTCTTGGAAGGGTGAGGCAGGAGGATTGCCACAAATTTGAGGCCAGCCTGGGCTACATAGTGAGACCCTGTCTCAAAAAACCAAAAACCAAAACAACAAAAAAGCAGTGGAAAAGGAAAAACACACTGCAGCTAAGTCCAGTGGTGCAACAGATACTCGGGACCTCTAGTTAGTGACTTGGAGATGGACCTACTAACTTTTTTTTTTGGTCTTTTTGAGACAGTTTGGCTATGCAGTGCAGGCTGGCCTTGAGCTCACTTTGTAGCCCAGGCTGGTCTCAAACTCGAAACGATCTACCTGTCTCAGCCTCCCGAGTGCTGGAATTGCAGGCGTGCGCCACGATGCTTGGCTCTGAAAGGACCTTTTGAATTTAAGTACTGAGTTGAAAGAAGAGATCAAAAAACGTAGCCTATCTTTTGTCAAGGCAAAAGAGACGTTTTTAAATATTTGATCATTTAATACCCCCTTCTCCTTTTTCTACCTCATGTGAGAAAGGTATTTGTTTTCTATAAACTGTACATTGTATGGTCCTTTACTTCCTAGCTATGAGATTAATCAGTATTTGTTCCTGTGGCTGATTTAAGTTTATTTATTTGTAACACAGGAAATACGTGACTTTGGTTACTGGAGTTTTCTTGGTCTTTCTGACCAGAATGGCATACCCGTTTCTTTGCCTAGGATAATTCAGACCTTTACAGAATGTTTTTGGGGGTATATTCTTATAGCTTTATTCCAGTAGGACTAAGATAGTTCTTAGAATAGTTCAGTAGTGATTGTCTTGTGATGATAGCATAGAGGAGAGGTGGTTTAGGGAGTGGAGAAAGAAAAAGTAGAGAAACTAAAC